TGGAGGCCACACTTGGAACAACAGCTTGAGTCAAATACCTACGTATCTTTATCTCACTCTCTGTGGTCTGACTTCTCTTTTTAGTGTGGAACACAATATTGCTATGTTTTGATTTGAATCTCCCGGTAAATTCTTAGAAATAATTTCCACACTAACTAAATCAGAAGTTAAGCTTTGTAAAATAATGTACCATCAAATAATTAGTTAATCTACGATTAGTTACATTAAAAATTCCAAATTTGAAGGTCTCTTATGCATTATTGGGTTCACGAATCAGTGTATTACAATCCCATTTCCTAAGGATTCAGTAATATGGCAACATTAGCCCTATATGTCAACATAAATTAGACTGAATTAGACAAATATGGCGGTTGTTTACTTAGCAGTTCACAGCGTCGTTTGAGATATTTAAAGTTAATTATTGTTATAATTCAAGAAATGGTGCAAACTTGTGTAGTACGTGGTTGCGACAGTAGTTGGTGTCCAGGAGGTGATATAAGATTTCACACGTAAGTGTTTAAATAGTGACTTCTGACATTGAATACTTGTAAACATACTTTTTGTATTTTCACTTAATTTTTTGCTGAAACGTTTTATCTGTGTTTTAAACATATTAGTAAATTATAACTTTGTCAAAATCAAATAGTTTTACATTGAATTTAATTAAGTTAGAACAATTTTATTGTTTTTGTTTAAAAGAAATCGCACTGAAGTAGTGTGACCATATTGATGATGTATCTGAGACTTTCCGTGTGACCTTAACTAATTATATGTACATGTTTCTTATTATGTTACCGGAAATGCATGAAATTTAGGAATTATGTACACTTCCTATATATTCTATATAATGACGGATTTCATAGATTTCATAATATTAATTTAAAAATGAGTAACATAATATATTCTTTTGGTAGACAATTTATTTTTAATTAGTTTTTGTTTCTCATTATTCTGATACTTTTATAATGTTTATAATAATTATGTATTTAGAAACGTAGTAGTTTAGATGTATGATATAAAGCAACATTTTGTAAAATATGTTATTATTTGCAGACAATAAGTGCATGAAGAGTCTATTGTGCAAATAGCTGCTCTGGCTGTACCAAGCACTAGTTCTGGCATTTATGAAAGTAGTTCAACACTTAAGAAAACAGAAGTGAAATGTACTGGCTGTAATATTGAAGACCTAACTAGTAAAAAACAATGTCGAAAAATTCTTGAAAATTTATGCAATCTTAACAAATTACCTGTAAGTGTTTTTTAGTGTAGTTGTCCTTTATAATACATACCTTTTATTTGTATTTATTATGACTTTAATATTACATTACATAATGTATTATATAGCTTAAAACACATACATATTTAAACTCTTTAGTGCCAATCGCAGTGTGGTAACTACTACGACACTAAGCATAAAGCTTCTTGTTTGATGCTTCATTTATGCGTGCTTATGAAGGCGCGCTCAGGTGTATTATACGTTACCTATTAAGTGATGTAAATTTGTACTGACATTATGATGTAGAAGAGTTATTTGTTTCTTTTTTTTTTGTTATTGTTCTCTAATCTCTGGAACTATACCAGTCTGAATTGAAAACATTTTTTTGCATTTTTAAAACCAATTCTTCAGGAAGTCTATCTAACATCACGCTACGACCCTGTACCCCTACGACGATGTACGATGCTAAAAATACTGATTTCATAAAGTTTTCTTGTTTTCTTAGGTCAGCAGTGAATACAACGATCCCGCGAAGATTGATAGGGGCGTGCAAGTGAAAATAAAGTGTACTAAAGAAGAAATACTTGAGACGAAAACTAAGATTCTTAAGCAAAAAGTGGCGCGCCAAACTAAAAAATTCAGGATAGGTCTTCTTTAATGGACACTATTAAAAAGTATACGGGTCAGTCAGAAATTGAAAATATTATTCAAGGGCGCTTTGCTCATATCTGTAAGGACTTCAAAAAGCCACAGAGTAATCCACATGGTGTGAAAAATTCGATAAATAATTTTAATATGGGAAATTGAAAATATTATTCAAAGGCGCTTTGCTCATATCTGTAAGGACTTCAAAAAGCCATAGAGTAATCCACATGGTGTGAAAAATTCAATAAATAATTTTAATATGGAAAGTGTTTTTATTTATTTTTTTAAGGTTTTTAACAAACCATGTAGTGGTGGTGTGAGAATATCCACTACCCTATATTGTTCCGAGGGTGTTGTAAGAGGTGTCAGAGGGAAAATGAAACAGGAGATGGGCAGCGGCATTTTCCTGATAACAACTCAAAATAATAATATATTATCGTTCCTATTATAGTACATATGTTATTAGAAATCTATGAAATCCGTTATTATATAGAATTCCTAGGAATTGTAGATAATTCTTAAAATGAACTGGATGTGTGGAATATAGTATTATACACATTTCAGCTCAGAGCAGCCTGACTCGGATGGGTTAGGTCAGAAGGCTAAGGCAGGAGCTCCGCTACGCTGCTTTAGTCCTCGTGATATTTTTTTTTAAATAATTGTCCAGAAATAGATTTAGTCTGTCTGAACAATAAATCAGGTATATTTTGCCCAATTCATTGACCACCCGTGGTTATAATAAATTTTAATTTTATATTTCGTTGGTACCGTTTAGGAATTGTATACAATAACCAGAAAATACATTATCGAAATGGTAGTTATAAAATATTCTCGGATATATTTATTTTCCACATTTTCTAAATAGGCTCGGCATTATATGGGTTGTGACGGAAATGCGTGGTCATATTTTAATACCGGTTCTGCCCATGGAAATGAAAACCTTTCTTCATAAATCTAGTCAATTCCCAAAAAAAAAATTGTACAAAAATATATAATCTATATAGGCTAGGTCTTAGTAGTAAACAGAGATATAGATATTTATAAATAAAACACTTAATGTAACTCAACTACTTATAGCGATATCCTGGGAAAAATAAAATAAAGGTTACCTACTTAGAAAGGGAGGGCCTGCCCACAGAGAGCGAGATAGTAATACATAGGTTAAGCTTCAAGTAGGTATTCGGAGTGTGGTCTCCATCTTTATCTATAACTTCATGCGTTAAATAGGCCATTTTATAAAATAAATTGATGAAATATATATGTGTATCTAAAGCAAAAAATTTTCTTAATGATAAAAAAAATTGAAGATATCTAAAATAAGAGCCAATTCACCTGAAAAGACGCCAAAAATTTGAGTAGCTAAATTGCTCCTTTGTAAATTCTGGCGACAAAGTCGATAAGCTGGCAGCACTTGTCAGCATAATCAGTTGTGGCCACAGTAATTAATTCAACTAACCCTGCAGTGGTCGCGACTTATAAATTCACGTAAGTGGTCACGTGGATTGCATATTATGTAGACCAATTTAAAATAAGAAGAAAACTGTAAAATATGAAATAAAATGTACTTTTACTTTAAATAAAACAGGGTAATACTTAGTAATCATATTTAATAAACAAAAAACGGCTATACCTCCATCTTTATTAAAAATAAATAATGAAAATAATTATTTACATGAAAATGCTATAATAATTTGAGATCACAAACCAGTTTAGATATTTTTTACTAATCTAATCATTAAACAATAGGAACATAATATGTACTAGGAATTATTTGGACTAACGAATTTAGTTAATATAATACCTAATAGTTACGTAAATATTATAATGTAAAATGGTTGGACTAAAGCCAGCATTTAGTAACAAAGAGATATTGCAGGAACTGATAAACTTTAATATTTACAGCAATGATTATTTAAAGAAGAAAACAGATGTTGTTTGGATTGAAATCTGCAATAAATTAAATTATAAACAACTGTCATTTTCAATAAAACCATTGAATTTGTATATGAAAGTAAAAAAAGATATTGGCAACTTACTGCCTGATTACAGAAAGCACAAAAATTTGTTCAACGATAATGAAATTATTGACAAAGAAAGGGATGATAATGTATCCAGTAATTATTTTGATGAGTTTGATGAATTTAAACTTACGATTTTGAGGCCAATAAAGAAAACCTCGAAAGATAAAAATCCTATACTACACATTTCTACGCCGCGCCTGCGCTAATGCCCCGTATGCATTCGAGATTTATCATTTTATTAACTTTTTGCACTTCATATTGCATTTTATGCATTTATAACGGTGGTGGTTTTTATGTATTTTTTATTTCTAAGCTACATGGGTGCAGTTTAGAAATAAAAAATAATTAAAATTTTGAGTATATATATATATATATATATATATGTGTGTGTGTATATATATATATATATATATATATATATATATATACTCAAAATTCATAGGCGGGGGAGGGTTTCTATACGCCAGTATATTCTAGGTCGTCATCCATTTCCGTAAACAATAATATACATTGACTTTTAGCTGCGATTATATACTCTTTATCGTAGTTTATTGAATATTGATGGAGTTTTGGCGGGAACTTGACCGACGGCGGATTGCTTCTTCTGTATTATTGTTTAAATAATGGTTTGAAGTGGCTTTTGATATGGTGAAAGTGGTGCAATTTTGTGTATTAAGTATCTGCGCATGTAGAAACGGTGAAACAAGTGCTCTAATGGTGATGTGTATCTCAAGAAAGGTGTCTGTCTGCTTAGGCACCTTGAGATACCAACGCCAACTGTCAGCTGTTTGCTGTCTCAATTTGCCGTCAAAATCTCCCAAGGGCTGCACAATGTGACGCATCAACATATTGTGAAGCAGTGTACAATGAAGGATAATTATATAATATAACTTCAGGCTCAGAAGGGTTAGAACCCAGAGCCGTAAAGCCAGTTATTAAATATTAAAATAAAAATAGTTTATTGATGCGTAAGCAGTAGGCATCATATTAGTCTGTGGTTTATTGTCATATCAGCTGATTGCGTCATTGCATATAAAACAATCGCAAAACAAAAAACAAGTCGCAATTTTTGTTCAGGTCAATAAATTTGGAAATTATAACGTGCGTAAAGATTAAAAATGAAATTCCAATACAAAGAAGAACATTCTTTTGAAAAGAGAAAGACTGAAGGTGAAAAAATACGCAGGAAATATCCGGATCGTGTTCCAGTAATTGTAGAGAAAGCACCGAAGGCTAGACTTGGGGACCTCGACAAAAAGAAGTACTTAGTACCGTCTGATTTAACAGTTGGACAGTTTTACTTTTTAATCAGGAAACGTATCCACCTTCGGCCCGAGGACGCACTTTTCTTTTTCGTGAATAACGTTATTCCTCCTACATCTGCTACGATGGGCTCACTGTACCAGGAACATCACGATGAAGACTTTTTCTTATACATCGCATTTTCTGATGAAAATGTGTATGGATATTAATTTATTTTTAACCAATTATAAAAATCCTTTTAACTACGTCATAAATTGCTAAATACATTGTGTGGCGAATATTTAGGTTTAAGGCTTAGAAATATTGATGTATTATGTTTTTAACGGTGATAATTTTTTTTTTTCAAATTCCACTCGCACTTATGTAAATGCAATGTTATTTTAGGTTTAAAAAATCACATATTGGCAAAAATATTGCAATGTTTCCATTTCTTTGTTTGAGAGTGTGATAATTTCTTATTATTCATCCATATTAAACAATAAAAATTTACAAAAAAAAATGTTTTAATTCCACCTCAAACTCCACTTTACAATAATATCATCGACACAAAAATCCCACTCATCACTATTTTTACAACTGATTACCTGTACATTAGAGATGTTCGAACAGTGATCTTTGATTCCTGTGCCAAAGTTATTTGATAATTAGTGGCAGTGGCTAAAGGGTGCGGGATGCGTACTTGGTAACCATATATATAAAAAGTAGCTTGGAAAGTTGTAGGTTCGAATTTGAATCTACCACTAAACTACATTCTTACTCCACATTTAACAAGAATATTTTAACAGTGTTTCTAGTATTCTTTAAAAAAAAACATTGAGTATGATTATCTGAAGCAGAGTGGAGATTTCAATTTAGTTAGTTGCAGACTTTAAAGTTTTAATTTAAAAGTATATGAAATAAATAGACCAAGATACAAATACAAAAAAAAATATAAAGATATTAATCTTTTTTTTTTATGTACAAATAATAATTATTCGCCCTTGGTTTTCAATTCTTTTGTTACAGACATGGTTTACATTTTTTTTTCAAATCACAATTTAATTCAGATTGCCAACTGAAATTCATTTTTTTACTCCCTTAGTAATCATACTGAGCATTGTGTGTTATATGCAGTGCCGGATTAAGCAAATGCGGGGCCTGTAGCAAATTCTATCTATCTAATATATTCTAGATTACTATAGGCCCTGTTAGACTATAACATGTACAAAAAGCTAGTGATGAGATTGGACAGTTAAGAATACTTTTGATAGGAAACGAATATATATATATATATATATATATATATAACAACTTTTATTACTTTTTAAACTTTAACCACAATAAATAATAGTATAAGAACAGAAGGATCACTCTCTGGTAGCATAGCAATCTTGCGAGTTTAAGCCTAGTTACAACGTTGCTAATGTTCATAATACTTTGCACGCCTCGGGTACGTCCTTCGTTAAAATATTAGATCAAAACGTCGAAAAAAAATTAATGCGGCGCGCGTATTAAATCAAAATGCACCTTACGTCCGCGTGCGAGTCTGTATCACTTAAAACCAGGGATTGAAAACGGTCCCAAAATACCGGTATAGTACCGGTATTTAAGGGTTTCGGTACCTATACCGGAACAGGAACCAGAACCTAAATTAGAACCTTTATTTTACCGGTTCCTAAGTAAAACGAAAGCGAGTCCAAATTTGTTTGAGGTGCGGTCGGGTGGACGGCGCGATTCGGCGCGCGGCGGAGTATGAGAAGAGGGAGAGAGTAAAATATCACATTTGTATTGGTGGATCTTATGTTGCATATCAATGCAGTGTTGCCAACTCTACGGATTTTCTATAGATATACGGAAATTTGTCTTCATCTACGGAACTACGGAATTTGACGTTGCAATCTACGGAATTTTTATAAACTTAACAATAATTTTTTTTCATGAGTGTGAACTTGCCGGCAATGTCATTCTCTCTCTCTTCTTCTAATGTTGTCTGTATTAAATTATATTTAATAATTAATTCTATGCTATCTGTATTAAAATAAAACCATTCTTCTTCATAAATATCTAATTTTTGTGACGTTAATCGATTTCAAATGTTAATAGCTTAGATATTTTGAATTAAATTAGGTACGTTTGTTTCTTCTTTCTTCTTGAAAAATAGGCAGTTAATATGACCGCTTATAACCTTTTTATAGATGATAGAATTGTCACTTATGTCTCAAATTTTTCTAATCCATACTATCCCATTTGTTTTTACAATTATTAAAAACATTCTGCCGGATTATTCTTCGCTTTTCCTCGATCTTTTTTTTGAATTTCTCAAAATTGTTATTTGTATAGTTTTTCATCATCATCATCATCATTTCAGCCCTTCACAAGTCCACTGCTGAACATAGGCCTCCCCCGAGGAATGCCAAAAAGCACGGTTTGAGCAACCTGCATCCATCGACTTCCTGCATATCTTACCAGGTCTTTACTCCATCTAGTGGGGGGACGCCCCACACTTCGTCCGCCGGTACGAGGCCGGCACTCGAGAAGTTTTTTTCCCCATCGGTTGTCGGTTCTTCGAGCTTTATGGCCGGCCCGTTGCCACTCAGCTTACTAATCAGTTGGGCTATGTCGGTTACTCTGGTTCTACTGCGGATATCCTCATTTCTAAGTTTATCACGCAGAGAAATTCCAAGCATATGTAGCCCTCTCCATAGCTCGCTGAGTGACCTTGAACTTCCTCATCCGGCCAGCAGTGAACGACCACGTCTCAGTTCCATAAGTAATCACTAGCAACACGCACTGTTTGTACAGTCTCGTCTTTAAGTTTTGAGGTATACCTGACGGGAAGAAGTGCCGTAATTTCCCGAACGCTGCCCAACCGAGTTGAATCCGTCGATTGACCTCTCGGTCTAAGTTGAACTTACCTTGTCGGACTATTTGTCCCAGGTAAACATACTCGTCAACAACTTCGAGCTTAGTGCTCCCAACAACTACCGGCATAGGTGTGACATGGACGTTAAACATGATCTTTGTTTTGCCCATGTTCATCATAAGACCTATCCGTTGAGAGACACTATTGAGGTCATTGAGCATAGTGCTAAGGTCTTCCAGCGATTCTGCCATAAGGACTATATCGTCGGCAAATCGAAGGTGAGTGATGTACTCGCCATTAATGTTAATACCGTATCCTTTCCAGTCGAGAAGCTTGAAAACATCTTCCAATGCAGCGGTGAAGAGTTTCGGGGATATAACGTCACACTGTCTTACACCTCTCTGCAATTGGATAGGTTTCATACACTGGTTCTGTACTCGGATAGCTATCGTAGCACTTCGATATACCGACAGTCAACTTGGCACCGTTGAAGGGACTGCAGCACCGCCCAAATTTCGACAGAATCAAAGGCAAATTGTACTCCACGGACTTCTGTACAATTCGCCGAAGGGTATGTATGTGGTCTATGGTGCTAAAGCCCTTTCGGAAACCGGCTTGTTCGGGAGGCTAGAAGTCGTCAAGTCTGCGCGCGAGACGATTCGTAATGACTCTCGAAAACAGCACGTAGACGCGGCTCAGACGGAAAATCGGCCTTTACTTCTTCAAGATAGCGTTGTCACCTTTCTTGAAGAACAAGACCACCGCACTTCTGCTCCACGCCTCCGGTGTAATGCCACGGTGGTGTAATAACGGAATTAAAGAGCTTCTGAAGGATTTCAAGTACCGGTTTTCCACCCGCTTTCAGAAGCTCCGCTGTAATTCCATCCTCGCCTGGGGCCTTGCCGTTTTTAAGGTGCTGGAGAGCCATTCTAATCTCGCTCAGACTGACGTCCGGGATATCATCGGAATAGTGTCGGATAAGACTCGCTCTTGGATTACTCACTCGTGTGGCTCCAACCATGATGTATACAGCTGCCCATAGAGCCTCTCAATCTCACTCAAAATCTCTGGTGTCCCGGAAACGACGCTGCCACACTCGGTCTTCAGCTTCGATAGTTGGCTCTTTCCGGCAGACAGATCTCTAGCAAAGACTTTGGAGCCCTGGTTCTGCTTGATCGCTTCTTCAATAAGAGCAGTATTAAAGTTGCGTAAGTCCCGCCGCTTGCATTTGGAGATCTGTCCGTTTAGTTGCCTGTATGCTGTCAAATCTGCTGAAGACTGCAACTTCATATCCCGTCTAACAGCCATGAGACTAAGAGTGTGATCGGAGAGTTTTTGTGTTCTTCTGCGGCGGGACTTGCTAAACTTAGCTTCGGTCGGCCGCATGGACAGTTTTCACGAGCTTGTCATTTATATCGTCTACTGCATTGCAATCTTCTAGGCACTGAAAACAGTTTCGTAGCTCGAGCTGAAAGGTTTCGGGACTTTGGAGTTTTGAGCACGAGGGAGACGGAGCGTTGACTTCATTAGACGTGTCCTCTCCAACTTAACGTTTAGGTTCAGTGTGCTTGTCACCATTCGGTGATTGCTGCCGGTTTTCACCCTCGCGATCACTGAGACATCACTGAACAGTTGTCGTCTGGTTGTCATAATGAAGTCAATCTCATTTTTTGTCGAACCGTCGGGGCTCGACCAGGTCCACTTTCTGTGGAGCCGCTTTTGGACGAAAGAGTTCATCATAAAGAGTCCCTCTTTCTCCATGAACTCTGCCAGCTGCTGGCCCCTTGGGTTCCGTTGCCCTACTTTCAGCTCACCGTTCTCTTTTGTGCCTAGGTTTGCGTTGAAGTCTCCCATTAACACCATATATTGGGTTTTGGAGGAATGCATAGCTCTAGAGATATCCTCAGACATTTCCTCCACCTCCTCATCGGGGTGTGTTTAGGTTGGTGCGTAAACCTGTATGATCTTCAGCGAATACCGTTTGGTGATTCTGAGTATAAGGTACGCGACTCTCTTTGACACACTGCCAATCTTTACCACGTTGTTAACGAGAACCTTGTTGACGATAAATCCAACATTTCTTTGGGACAGGTGTTCGCCCTCCTGGTGATAGAACAAGTTGCCGGATTCGAGGATTACCGTGTCCTCCCCCTCTCTTCGGACCTCGGATAGTCCTATAATATTCCAGCGCAACTTGTCTATCTCTTCTTCCAGCTCCAGGATCTTCTCGTCAGTCCTCAGGGTGCGTGCGTTATAAGTTGCCAGGTCGAGTCGTCTTAGGTGGCAACCGAACCTCCACCGGAGATTCTTAGCACCCCTGCCCCGCTGTTACCATGGTCGCCACCGTAGCCAGGAATAGCAGGGCCG